GGACGAAATTCGTTAGCGGTAGTCTGTAAGAAATCACATTTCGGTTTCATTTTGTTTCCTTCGTTACAGCAAAGTGACATCAGCATGGGGGGGGGGGGAGTTTTTTTCCCCTCAAATGTCACTTTGCTGCAACGAAATTGTCTAACAAACAAAATTTCGTACAGACTACCGCTAACGAATTTCGGAATCTGAAATTCAGATTTTTTTGCATTCATTATATCTGTCATTTGGAATTCGGATACATCCAAATCTCGGAATTTCTGAAATTTCATCCTAATTTTAATTTGGAACGAAACGATGTCTACTTTATAACATTGGCGATTTGATAAAGCAGGGGGCATGAAGACAACAAAATGGACACATGGCAATTTTTATTTTTACAAACCTTTTAATGTATATTCATATCAATAAAAAATTGAATTTTAAATAGATATTGTCATTCAGTTCTTGGCACCTTGAAAGCCCATAGTTGTTTTTTTATGTTTTTTGTGATCTTTGTTTTCTCTTCTCCCAAAGCTCTGCTATCTATTGGTATAATTGTTAAAAAAAAAAACAGCAGCTCGGGGGAGTGACCCAACTGCAGTCTCTGGCTTCTCAGGGGCGCGATGTTATGTCACTGTTAGCATGGCTTGTACGACTGAAATCTCTAAAAAGATAAACATGGAGGAGGAGAAGAGATGGTCATCTGCCATGTGTAGCAAAAACCAGTTTATACATTCTCCTGCAATAGAAGCTTAAAAAAGGAACATTTTGTGCCCATAATGTTTCAATTAGGGATGCACCGATATATCGGCCGCCGAAACATATCGGCCGAAAATGGCACTTTTGGCATAATGCCGAAAGAGCCATGTTTCGGCCGATACATTGGCGCATCCCAGGTTTCTTTTCTCCCCGCTGGGCGCTGTTCCAGCGGGGAGAAAAGAAAGTGAGAGCCGGCCGAGCGCTGTGAGCGGCCGGCGTCTCTCCTCCCACTCCGCTCAGCCGCCTATCGCAGTCCGGCAGAGCGGTGTGTGGGCGTAGACAGCGCTGTCACAAGAGGCTGGGCTTTCCTCTCTACACCGCTCGATCAGCCTCCTGTGACAGCGTGTCAGAGAGAAAAGCAAGGTACACACACTCAGCGATCAGTGTTGAGGATATGTTATGTTAACTATATCCTCAATTATGAATGAATGGGAGTGATCTACATCAAATCTACATCACCCCCATTCATTCATAATTGTAGTTATAGTAAACAAACAATGTTATCAAAGGACTTTGTGTTCTCAATCTCTTTTTCTATTTTAAAAGGGAAATATCAGGGGTCTGTTTAGACCCCTAATATTTCCCCAGAAGCCCCCAAAAGTAAAGTAAAAAATATTTAATAAAAAATGAATTAATAAATAAAAATGAATATAAAAAATTTAAAAAGTTTATAAAAAATAAAATATTTTAAAAAATAAAAATAAAAAACATTTTCGGTTTCGGCCTGACATTTTTTTTTATTTCAGTTTCGTTTCGGTTTTAAAATTTCCATTTCGGTGCACCTCTAGTTTCAATACATGGAAATACTGCTCCTCTCCAATGATAAGGTCGCATTTCAACTGGCATTGTATCAGACTTTTTATATTTTATTTTATATTTACTATCTTCTTTCAAACAACGATTAAAATATCAAGTTGAATACTCCTGAATGTTGGCCTCATTGCATGTCAGCACACGATTCCACAGTGGAAACTTGAAACACAAACTTGCCATTTATTTCAGGAGGTCACTGTCTCTGTTTAACTTCAGACGGCAGCACCAATTAAAAGTAACATGAGTAATAATTATTTTACTGGCCTATTCACTATAAATGAACCGTGCCAAACATGTTGAGACCTTCCATCCCAGAATGCAGCCTGAGTGCCTCAGCAGTCAATAAAACGTTCGATTCACCCAATGGCTGCTCTCCAGGGAAGTCCAAAGGGGGTATTTCATTCACATTTTATGTCCCCAGCTGCAGAGGTGATATCTCACGTCCCATGCCCCCTGCTACAAAAGCACCAGCCTTATCTTAGTGTTATTCCATCTAATCATAGTCCAACCATAATCAGCCATCCATATTTATGGATACTGCAATGCAGATACAGATTAGCAAGGGCACATTCTCTAACCTGCCGTATATACTCGAGTATAAGCCGTCCCGAATATAAGCCGAGGTACCTAATTTTACCACAAAAAACTGGGAAAAAGTATTGACAGTCCTCCACCATTGGACATTCCAAATGCAAGAAAGTTTAGCATGTTAAGGGATCACTCATATATAAGGCAATCTTTAGTTCTAATGTAAACCCATCAAACAGAACAAGAAAAATCTCCTTTGTGCCCCCCTCCGATCCTGACTGCACTCTACTAGAGGATTGACATTTCCGAAATTGAGGTTAAGCCCCATTGCCTGGGCTAAGGCCTAGTTGTTTGTAATTCCAATGAGAAAGCCCTGACTGGCCACTGTGGTACTCTTATTGGATAGAAAAATAGTGGGTAGGAAAGAGCTCCAAACCCAAAGTAATTTCTGTTGAACCCTTAGTAACAAAGTGAATCCAGGATCAGGGGGGCACACAGAATAGCGGGCATACCGTGGCACCTACTTTTAGGCAAGGCATATATTTTACAAAGATTAAAATGGCTGACTGATTCACTTTGAACAGAGGTTAAAAACACCACAGCCACATACTCTTTCAAGTTTCTTCAAACATAGCCTTTTATGGGAAGAGACATGAGATGTTCTAAATTTACCACTGCAAGTGCCCTTTAAACCGCTCAACTTGTGTCCTTTACATGGTAATTGCAGTGCTGCCTTGAACTCCAAATATTGCTTTTAGAACTAAGGACATAAGCAATGGAACCCTCAATCTTATGTAACATAACACCTCTACTAATAAATCCTAATGAGGTGCCAGTGGCCAACAGAATAGCTTAGGAATTTGAGATATCGTCTTGTATTTGTGTTGGAGAAGAGTGACATATCATTGAAGTTGAAGAACTTAACATTACTAGTGGAATGTCAGAATCGTTTTGTGCTTTGGATATGGAAAAAGCAACACAGTTTTAGCTTGGCCAACGGCTCTCCCAAAAAAATATGAGAAATGAAGTGTTTAATGTGGAAAAGAATATGGAGGGCATGGTTTTATGGGAAGTTTAGCAGAGTTTATTAAAACACTGGTTATTTCCCATCCTACGTTCTGAAGGTTATGGAAATAAAGAGTACTGGTCAATAAAGGAAAACGTTCAGTGTTGTGCGGGTGGTGGCGGGTGTGGAATTGCATGCTGGCTTCTTCTTTTCTTATATCTCAGGGACCCCAGTGACAAGTATTCACAGTTCTGCTTTTAATGCTGTGGCCATTTCAAAGTCAAATGATGGTGCCACTTCACAGATGGAATGCCAATGATGCAGACTAAATATATAACTGGGAGATCTATTCAGTATTAAAAATAACTTTTGGGTAACGCTATCAAGGTTATTCACAATAGGGTGAAGAGTTTGGAGAAGGCCGGAGAAGTGAACAATCTAGGCCAAAATAGCTGATTTGGAAAAATTATCCAATTCAGCTCATTTTCCAGGTCAGCTATGTTGTCCTAGATTGTTCACTTCTGCCTTCTCCAAACTCTTCACCCTTTTGTGAATAACCCCATATGTTTTTCATAACAGGCCTGTCAGTGAAAGGTTCACTCACTGTATGTTTAATACAATCATAAGGCCTTTGTTGATCAAGTACATTGACCTGTAGACAGTACTGTTTCATCCCAGTGTCCACTGCAGTATCTAGAGATCCATTCTACTTTTGGGTACTGGGTTATTTCAATATGTTTTAAGGATATGTTTACTTAAAACAGGCTACTAACTAGGTGTATTGGGGCCCTATAGCAACAAAATAATGGGGTCCTTTTTCACTTTAATCTCTACCTCAAGGACATTGCCTCTAGTAATACAGAATACTCATTCGTAAAAGGTTTCCAGAACAATATATACATTTATTTAATAGAAATCGCCATCTCTATAAACAGTATCACTGTATAGCTCTGGGCCCCATTGCAGCTGCATGGTTATAGTTAGACCCCTTGGCCTAAATGTCTCCCTATTGGAACTATGTACACTAGAGAAATAATACTTTGTAAAATATTAATTCAACAGTTTATGTTAAATAGTTTTCTATAAAATGATTTTTTTTTAAATTAGATAGTTACAAGAAGAGGCAATGGGGTAGATTTACTAAAAGCATATAGGCTGTTCACTTTGCAAGGGAATTTGCACGTTAGCTTAGTGAATGAGGTGAAGCTCTGCTGACTTCCATCATCCAATTGTGTGCAAGAAAAAACACTGGGGGGTTTTTGTTATCGTTGCTCGTGATTGGGTATTCTTCACAAAGGGAATTTCACCTCATTTACTAAGCTAAGGGAAAATTCCCCTTCAAACTGAACAGCCTATGTGCCTTTAGACCCCAATATTTAGAACCCCAATATTTTAAAAGAAAGGTGGTATACATAGGAGAAATATTTTCCAACACACTTTCTTTGGGGCTTCCGAGTGCAAGGTGCCCCTGTGATTGATATATATACATATATACACAGTATATCAGAAGTGGGTGCCAATTACAGCTACAGTCAGGTAATGATGTGTAAGTTTTTTTTTCGTGGGAGTTTTGATTTCAAGTTCATAACCTTCCGGCACTCACGAAAGGCAGCAGGTAAGGATGACTAAACATTTTGTCACCTAACATTGAAATAGCGGCTGCAGCTCCAGTTGTATCCCAGGCATCACTTTTGGTTTTCCATTATAGTGCTGGACCAATATTTAGGCTTGGGAGTTGGGAGGAGGAAGGTGGTGAACCCAACTGTAACCTCAGGAACTGTGGATGCAGTTTGCATATTAGAGTTCTTCTTTAAAATTATTAAATTATTAATAAATCTTTTTTTATTTTTAGTCTTCAGCTTTAAAAAGTAGAAAAAGAACCTGAAATCATTTTTTTTTCTTTCTCTTTCAGAGACTGTATGCACGACAACAGGATGTGTGACCGCAGGTACGTGTTTAGGTTTTAGATGATTTTTCTCTTGGATATGTTTTTTTTGACGTCTTGGTGTTTCTTCCCTAGCTGCAAGAATTATCCAGAACATGGACCCCTCTATAGAACCTTGCACTGACTTCTACCAGTATGCCTGTGGTGGCTGGCTGAACAAGCACGTTATCCCAGAAACCAGCTCTAGATATAGCATATTCGATATTCTCCGGGATGAAATGGAGATTATTTTAAAAGGTAAGACTCTCCGATTCCAAAAGGGACCAGACTAATTTATCAATGGCAAAATATACTGCCTGACCAAAAAAATGTCACCACCTGGATTATGGCCAGTGTTGCTTCTGGGGTTGCTTAATTCAGTCAGGCCTAGGTTCATTATGTCCCCAAAAAATGAGGTCAGCTGTTTACCTGAATATACTGAATGATCAGGTGTTTCCATCAATTGATTTTTTTCTTCCCTGATTGCACGTTGGGCATATTCCAAGATGACAATGCCAGGATTCATCGGGCTCAAAATGTGAAAGAGTGGTTCAGGGAGCATGAGTCATCATTGTCACACATGAATTGGCCACCAGAGAGTCCAGACCTTAACCCCATTGAGAATCTTTGGGATGTTCTGGAGAAGACTCTACGCAGTGGCACGACCATCATCACTACAAGATCTTGGGGAAAAATTCATGCAATTCTGGACGGTAACAAATGTTGTGGCATTGCATAAGCTTATTGAAACGATGCCACAGGTAATGCGTGCCATTATCAGAGCTAAAGGCGGCCCAGCAAAATATTAGCGTGTGTGACTTTTTTTCTGGCCGCGCAGTGTATAAAGCACAGTTGCCAACCCAACATTTGTTTTTTATTTGTAGACAGGCTGAAACAGGCTGAAAACTTAAGACCAGCTCCAAAATGTTTAAGGACTTATCACCATGACAGTAGATTAGTGTACTTAGAGATCTGTATATTGTGCATTAAGGCGTGATGTGCTACCCGCTACTGTAAAAGTGCGTTGTGGTGCCAATCAAAATGTGGGTAATGTGCATTGTAAATATGTGAATCTGCCCTTATTGTAATTCCAAAAGTCATTTGGAGACTTTTTAACTCTACAGTTTTCATTAAAGTAATACCTGGTGATCCTGCCATCAAGTTCAGGCACTTCCTGTTATGAAGTGACAACACTCTGCCCTATTGCCCAAATTTCTCTCTATGGGTTGGCACCCGGTCACATGCAGTTCTAGTACAGACTACAAGGAGCAGTGCTGACACAGATGGACCAAGCAGAGTCCAGTGTTGTCATCATCAAGAAGCAGGTCGGAGCAATATTGTGCAGCTGACACTGGCATGAGTGAATATAGACAGGAAGTGGCTGAAAGGGGGCTGGAGGTAATCAGGAGCACTGAGATAGGAAAATAGATCAAAAAAGGTGAAAACAGCATTTTATGATATAAAAAACAGCAATACACAGGGGCTGATTTATATATGTGAGGCGGATGCCATTTCCTTGGCACTAGCACCCCTAGATGGCATTGGAATTCCTATGCTCCTCAGGGCCATCTGGTGGCGCTGGTGCCGTGCAAATGGCATCTGTCCAGCTGTACACTGAAGGAACATCTATAAATTAGCCCCATAGTGTTTTAGCAAATCTAATTTCATCCAGCTAGGGTTTACCTCTACTTTGAAGTATACCTTTCCTAAGAGAAATATATGACCTTGCTAGTTGTCTGACTGTTATTCTGATCCTCTGGCTTCAATAGTTTTGAGTTACTGACCAAAAACAAATACACAAATAAGGAAAGTCAGAAGTCCCATTTGCATTGGGTTTTCTGGATCGATGCCTCAAAGTATTAAACCCAGAGAGCCGGCATATCAGCCTAGTAGTTTCAGAGTTCAGCAATGGCCGGCTCCATGGGTCTCTTGGGAAAGGATTCCTTTAATTAGTTTGTAGAACAAGAGCAATGGTAAGGTAGATTGACATCACACAGATCTACATATTGCATAACATAAGAACTACCCAAGGCTTTAGAAGCAGCTAAAATGTAGTTTTACAAGAACGCATCAAACTGACGTGTAGAATGCTGTGGAAGACTCATCCTTAAAGTGTATGTCAAGGTAAAATCAAATCAAACATATGCAGTACATCTCCGCAATACAGGTTGTGGCAGTGCAAGGCAATGCCACGGTGTAGTTTGGCAACTATGACACCCAGGACTCTCAGCCAGAAGGGCTGACAGGGTGCAGAGGGTAAACCATTTCATAAGGAAGAACCTGGTCTTTCAGATTCTTCCAGGTGTTCAGAATTGTAGATAGGATCTGGAGCTCTGGAGATTTCTTAGAGCTCCAGGTGGGATGAAATCTCCTGGGGCCAGGTGTTGCCAATGACCAGCCTGGAGTGATCAAGTGGCTGAGAGCAGCCTCATTAGGAAGCCAGCCCAGAGCTCAGGGGGAAAGTTGTGCGTGGGTGTGCAGGAGGCACGCGGCCACAAGCAGACTTGGGTGCGTGCTGGACGCATTTGGAACAGCCAGGGGAGGCTTGGGAAGGTCGGTGACCCAAGGGACCTGGCGGACACACTGCTGAAAGAGCAGTGTGAGTGCTCACGAGGGGTGAGCAGTGTGAGTATCACACAGAGGTGTGCTAAAGACTGTATATGCGGAGGAAAAGCAGATTATTATAAGAAGCACATGAACTGTTCTGTTTCAATTATGTTGAAGAGGAATAAAGGCTGTCCTGTTTATGTTCAAGTTGGTTTCAAGACTGGTCCTTAAGTGTTCACCATTGGGCTATATTCCCCAAACATCACAATGTACATTTCCAAATGTTCTATCCCTTTAAAGACCCTGCAGGTACAGATAAATACTTGTTGATCTGCTAGAAATACCTTCAGCTCTTATTTTCCTTTTGTGAGCTGACATCGCAGAGCCTTTTTTGTACTGAAATAATGAGAAATGGCGTCATCCCTGCCCAGTTGTCTCTTAGTAAACTGAATACACTCCTTTCTCCTTATCTGAACAAAATAAGAACTAACCGTTCTGTAGTCCATGATGCGGATGGGCTGATAAGACTCGTTGAGTTAACACAGGAAGTGTGCAGGGGACAAAGGACAGCTCTGAATGTTTGATGAGTTTGGTATGGAGGAACTCGAGTGGCCTGCACAGAGCCCTGACCTCACCTCTACTGATCACCTTTGGAATGAACTGGAACATCGATTGTGAGTCAGGTCTACTCATACAACTTCAGTACCTGACCTCAGAAATGCTCTCTTGGCTAAGTGGGCCTATTTACATGCTCCAAAACCTTGTGAGTTTTTTGTTCTTATTATAGCAAAAGGGAATTGGGTAACACCACATCAATGCTCATGGTTTTGTAATAGAGTGTCGAACAAGCTCATATAGGTGTGATGGACAGGTGTCCACAAACTGGCCATATAGTATCTCTTATGTGTAGTAGTTATTTATAAAGCATGTATCACTGATAGCATGTACCTATTTATATTTTATATGTATATCATTTTATTTCCTTATTTTTCTCTAAATGTTCCTGCTTTAGCAGTCCTAGACCTAGAAACAGTCCCTTTAAGTATTGTATATATATATATTGTCCTTTGTGCAGAATTTAACGTAACATTTTAGATTAGAAATTATTAGACTATTTATATCTATCTGATTCTGATTAAATAAAAATGATTTTCACTCATTCAGGTTTACTTGAGATGCCAGAGCAGGATGACCGTGATGCCTTTAAAAAAGCCAAAACTTTGTACAAGTCCTGTATGAATGAAAGTAAGTATGTGCACCATATAACAGGGATGATCTGCTAGAGTTTAGGGAAGAAGGGAAGAAAATTGAGCCATTTCTTTGTTTCTTTGGAACCAATCTAATTTTTGTTGAACCATGCATTGTGATTGGTGCAGGTAATAGCTGTACCTGTGCTCAGTTCTCTTTGCTCCTGTTTATTGTATACATTAGCCCTATGCAGCCCAAGTCACTAAGAACAATTGTGTGTTTTTCCATAATTATAATGATTTTTATTTTTTTCAGATCTCATTTGCTACCATAGCTGAAAATAACAGCAACAATTGTTAAAGCTTAGTGCATTAAACATAATTTCTCAGTTGATATACCAGCCTTTCTCAACCAGGGTTCCCTACAGATGTTACTAGGGGTTCCTTGAGCAATGAGCAGTTTTTGCCTCTCAGATAAGTAACCAATGACACGAGTGGTCTTTTTAGCTATCAGTAAAGTCTGTATTCTTTCCACTGACCATCATTTAAGAGGTATTCTTCCCATTGACCACCAGTGGAAAGGGGTCCTTCTCACAATGTCTTCTAATGTAAGGTGGTCCTTTTCCTACTGACAACCAACCTAATGATTCCCTTTTCCACTGACCACCAATTTAAGAGGGCAGTTCTCCACTCACCACCAATATCATAGAACCCTTCTCCACTGGCCACCAATGTAAGGGAGCAATTCTCCACTCACCACCAATGTCATAGAAACCTTCTCTATTGACTACCAATGTAAGGGGTCAATTCTCCACTCACCACAATTGTAATAGCACCCTTCTCCACTGACCACCAATGTAAGGTGGCAATTCTCCACTCACCACCAAAGTCATAGACCCCTTCTTCATTCACCAACAATGTAAGGGGGCAATTCTTCACATACCACCAATGTCATAGACCCATTCTCCATTCACTACCAATGTAAGGGAGAACTTCCTTGACCACAAATGAAAAGGGGCCCTTGTCCACTAACCATAAATCTAAGAGAGCCCTTCTCCACTCACCAATGAGTCCTTCTCCCCTGACCACCAATGTGAGGGAACACTAAAATTGGCATTGAGTGTGCTTCTTATGTTTATAATTTGTTTATAACATTATTCTAACTGAAAATGATTATATTATATAGAGAGGCTATAGGTGTCAAATATGCTAAGTATGTCACATTCTTTGTACTCCATGCTTATCTCTCGCTCTCTATTCTGTAGATATAGTAATTATAAGCAGAGGTTGTCTAAGACCTAACATTTATTTAAGGTGTTCCTTCATTTGAAAGGCTGAAAAAGGCTGGTATATACTATAGAAGAGCTGTCTCTGTTGTTATAGATATACCAAACAGGCATTCTGTTACCCAGTTTTTCAAAGAAATACGTTTCTGTAAAGTACCCATGTGAGGGGCCTCAAATGCAAGCTAACATTCCATTCCTGGGACAATTACCACCCTCACAGTGAGCATTTGGTCCATAGCATCCCAGGAGCCAGAGTAAAGTAGCTTCCAGCAAAGGTTTTTAACACTGGCCCGTTGTGGCATTTCCCCTTAAAGAGAACCCGTCGCCAGACTATTCACGTAGACAATAATCTCTAAATAAGATTATGTTTGCATTCAGTGTGTTTTTCACATGCTATTTACCTGTAAAAGCCTCCCCTGGATAGCCCTCCAAAAGCCCTGCTGAATGACGCCATCTTGAATCTGATGTTAGCAGCTCCAGGGACTCAAGTGAAACCCTATAGTATTTTCATTCACTCTTCCCTTGGCATCTGCATAAAACGTTATGTAGCGAGGTGAGGGGAGGAGCTGGGTCATTACAGTAATTAGACACTCCCAGAAGTGGAGAAGACAATGACGTACATGGAGAGAGGGGGCTGTGCTAGGCAATTGACTCTTCCTGGAGTAGTCAAATGTTCTAGTCGTTTAAAGGCACAAGGTCATATATCATTTAAGGAAAGGAAAAATGCAAGTAAGCATTTAAAATGTTGCAATTTTCTTTTCTGTTACCTGCAATGTTTTGGTTGGTAACAGGGTCTCTTTAAGTGTTTTTGCAAATTTTCCACTGTACTGTACTCTGACCCTTTTTCTCACAATGCTTACCTTACACCACACTGAACAAATTTGCAGCTATTCTGTTTTTCGACATGTGTTTCTGTTTCAGTAAGTGCTCAGTTTCCATGTGGGTTTTATTTTTGTGCTATGCCCACTCTGTCCCCTCTCCTGTTTACCAGACTCATTGCGCCCATTATCTCCGATCAACTCCCTCTGGGATGTTCTGCTGACATTATCTCCGTTTGAAGTGCAGATTTGTCCTTGCCATGACACCCCTACCCAGTGAATATCTCCTTCATGATCATAGCACAACTGCAGATGGCTACATTAGAATTGGCACCAGGCCACGGTATTGGGCAGGGTTCCATCATTGTAGACTGGAATGTAACAGGAAGACAAAGGATCTCTTCTGTACAGGTTCAACCACTGGCGGTCTGAGATCATTAGTAGGAAATAAGAAAAGCAACCAGTTGTAAACTAGAACTGCCTCAGTTTGGTGTTATCCAGTTCTTTTTAGATTTGACTAAGATTTAACAAAAATTTACAAATTGGAAGGGTCATATGTAAATGAATGATGGTTATATTAAACAAAAGAATAAAAAACATAAAATTGGATATAAAACACGTAAAAAAAAGATATTAAAAAAAGCACATTAATAATGCACATTGGTGTGTATTGCACAAGTGTTTAGTGCTTAGCTTGCTTTGGGACCACAAAACTCAAATGAATGGGAAAAAAAGGAGAAGAGCATGGTCGTGTGATCCGTCAAACCCATGTGACCAACCTCTCTTCCCATAGTAGAGTGTTCTCTGCAGCATTATGCAGATAGCACCTTTGTTGGACTCTACAGATTCCACAGTGACTTGTAAAACACAGGTACAGTGTGGAATAAACACTGTGACTGCAGAGTGACTAGATGGCTTTCCATTCTCCGTTCTATGTAGGCCCCCAAGTCTACCTTTGGTATGTATCCCTCCAGTTCAACTACCTAATCGATCTCTCTTTATTGACTACTCTATTGCCAAAGTTCTGAGGCAGATTAAAAGATTTCAAGGGGGTATGTGCCCAGGTAATGAGGAGCTCCCGAGGCAAACACAACAGGCTGTACAAAACAAATCTGATTGGCCAAAAAAGTCACATGTCCCATTCAGTTTCATTTTTTTACGAAATTCAGACGCTAAACCGAAATTTGGATTCGGACACATTCGGATGCATTGGGATTCGGAAATTCAGGGGTGTCCGGATGTCGCACATGTCTATTGCAATCTTCATCCATGTGACCAGGTGACAACGCAGGAGAGACAGGGGCAAAGAATGACCCTAGTGGCGGAACGAGGATCTTCATGGCAGGATCACAGGATGTTAAATGGAGATTATAAAATATTTCAATGACTTTTCATATTCCGTTAACATTTTAAAACGTTCAATGAAACTTTAGTGATCGGGGTTTACAAGTGCTTTAAAATATTCCCTTCCCGCCTTTGCTTCCAGGTCTGATAGAGCAGCGAGACTCTTTACCTCTTCTGGAGCTCCTTACTATCGTTGGAGAATGGCCAGTGGCTTATACAGATTGGAACCTCACCAAAGGTAACCCTAAGC